CAGGAATGGTGTTGTGGAGGTCTGCAGCGTGACTTATCCTCTGGTTAGACCAGTGTTCTTAAAAAGGGGTTTCTGGGTTGAACGAAGTTCAGTAGATGCCCTCGTCCAGGCCTTCTCAGAGCCCTTGATGTGGACAGAATGTTTAGTGCCTGCAAGGACACCTGGCTCGATAGAGCGTTCTGAGCTCTGCAACTGTGGCTTCACAGAGCCACCTCAGGAGGCGCTGACCAAGACCGATCCCTGGAGCACATTGGGACATTTGAGTTCAGCGATGATGTGACAAGCCCTCAGTCCCAGGTGGGAACTGGAGCCAGGATTCCTGGCTCCTTGATGTTTCAGTTATGGATCAGTCTCTGGACCACAGTTTTATTAACGACTGAGAGTGGAGAGGAATATCCATATAAAATGTGATTGGGGTATATTTATCTGAGACTTTATTGTTTATAAAATCCTCTGCAGCTTGATTTGAGAGATTCTGAGTGTTAGGATGCTTTTGTCCCTAGAAGGTGCCCATCTTTTTCAGCCAGTGAGATAGTGGTCAGAATTTTTTTCAGATTTTTTTTTTTTTGGAGAGGTTTTTGCTATAGGGCGTGTGCGCTCGCCAGACAGACAGAGAGAGACATAGAGACAGAAAGTGAGAAATCACCCCCTAGGGGGATGGCCACACCACAATCCCTTCTCCTCCATTCTCCTCTCAGGATCTTGGGCACACACACACACACACGCCCAGCAAGAGTTTTAAGCCACCGGGTCCGGGACGCGAACCACGATCGACTACGTGGGAGTCCAGCGACATAGCCATTATGCTAACTGCTGGTTCCCAAATGGTCAGAATTTTTGTCCTGTTGAGAGGATGCAGTGTCCAGGGGCCTCATGATAACGTTTATCTCAGGGTGTGTGGACAGCTCAGCAGAACCCGGGATTCCAATGCAGATTTAAGGCTGTATCCGATGGTCTAATTCTTTTTATTTTTTAAAGAATTATTTATTGAACTTTATTTGTTTATTTACTTACATACTTACTTTAATTTGACCAGAAAGGGGTAGAGCGAGAGGGAAAGTGAGAAAGCAAGCTGCCAGGTCTGGGACTTGAACCATGGTCGGCCATGTGGGAGCCCAGCTCCTTTAACCACCAGGCCACCTCCTTGCCCCACAATGGTCCAATTCTTATGATTGCATCTCACTGCCAAATACCTATTCAAGAACCAAACAAAATTATATGCTGAAACTTGGAAATTTCCCACTGAATCTTCTATTGAGAAAGTTTTTCAGTACTTTGATAAGTATTAAGACAGGCTGAAGGGATTTTTGAAAACGAGTCTTATTTTGCAAACTTGTGAACATTTTAATGTGCACATGTGATAGGAATAAGAGCATTAACACATGTGGCACTCTGGCTGTAGGCAGAGGCTTGAAGCCTTCTTGGCACTGTAACTAAGGTAGAAACGAGGGCACCTCGGGTAGTTTTGAGACTCCAGGGTAAAAAAGGCTTCAGAAGGCAGTCTGGCCAGAGGAAGGAATGGAGAATTGCTTACATAGTGAGGATATGATTTTAGGTTCAGTTATATATTTAAGCTGGACTCCGACTCTGATGGCGTTTTAAAAGATCCTAACTCCCCCCACCCCCACCCCTGCCATTCTCTCCTTGGCCTCTGCTGTGACACAGAAGAAATGGAACTGGCTTCGTAGCCAGTGCTTAAGTCCAGTTGATCATGTCAATTTCTAGCAGCCCTGAGATAAGTGGAAAAGAATGCTTGGATTGAACACACGATTTCTGCCATATGTAAAAAGCCAGGGCATAGTGACAAATCCATGCATTTGCAATGAAAGCTACTTTCACTGCACAGTGGTTCTTCGAATAAATGTGCTCCTGTATTCCTCTGTCCATATATTCTTCTACCCATCTGTCTAGTCATTCACCCACTGAATATCCATTGAGGATCTGTCACATGCCAGGCATGGTTCTAGAGTCATTCCACAAATGAAGTATTTTCTCAGACCTGTTTTAAATCACTTAGTAGGATGAGAAGCAATGTGGGAATATGAGTGATGTGCGGACTTTGAGTCAAGATACATAAGTTGGACCCTTGGTTGTGTGCCACTCTATGATTTTGGGGTGATGCCTTTGTATTCTTCAAAGTGCAGAGAAATGGTCTAGACATAGCTTCAAGAGCTCTTAAATGACATAATTATTTTTTAAGAATTATTTTATTTAAATATTTATTTTAATTTGACCAGTGAGTGACAGAGAGAGAGAAAATGAGAAAGCAAGCCACCAGGCCCAGAACTTGAACCGTGATCGGCCATGAGAAAGAAAAAGTGAGAAAGCAAACTGCTCAGTCCAGGACTTGAACCGTGGTCGGCCATGTGGGAGTCTAGCGCCCTTAACCATCACGCCACCTGCTGGCTCCTTAAATTACACAATTTTAACCACATATCACATCCCTACTGTATATGCTGAGTAAAGTTGAGACTCTATAAGTAAATAAAACTTAATACATACCCTCATAGATCTTACAACTTCAAACGTAAGATCTGTAATACGGTAGTAAGCCAGGTAATCTGTAGGAAATAACTGCATACTGGAAATATATATTATAGGAAAAGTAATTATAGCTTATATTTATTGAGCACTTATTGTGCTGAGCTCTTTATATTACCTCAGTGTCCCCATTTCACAATTGAGGAAACTAAAGCCCAGGGAAGTAGAAGCATTTGATCAAAGTCCTACGTAAGTAGGTGGAAGGAGAGCTGGAACTTGAACGTGGGTGTGTAACTATAGTAATGTTCTTGACAATTGCTCTTCAGTAAATATTAGGGATTTAAATGGTATGCTTATCAATATCCGAACTAGCACCTCCGTATGGTTAGATATTCAGCACTTGACCCAAGTAATGACTGACTGGGAATGTCCTCTCCCTTAAATGTGCTTTCAAGAGAGATCATCAGACACAGAAATGAGAGCTCTAATAATTCTCAGATGCCATCTAGTCCAATTTCTATGTGGATATAAGAGACTGTGGATAAGAGTAGTGGAGTTGCTTATTTAAAGTCAAATGACAATTAATGACTCATTTGAGCCCCCTGATTTCCACTTAAAAATTCTTTCTCCCATATTCCTCTGGGAAAGAAAAACATTCTTTTTTTTTTTGGAGAGGTTTTTGCTATAGGGCACGTGCGCTCGCCAGACAGACAGACAGAGAGATAGAAAGTGAGAAATCATCCCCCAGGGGGGATGGCCACACCGCAATCCCTTCTCCTCCATTCTCCTCTCGGGATCTTGGGCATGCACGCACATGCGGCCGGTGTGAGTTTAAGCCACTGGGTCCGGGACTCAAACTGCGGTCGACTACGTGGGAGTCCAGCGACATAGCCATTACGCTAACTGCTGGTCCCAGAAAAACATTCTTGCTAAGGGGTGTTTTGAATAGGTGGGGGATTATGCTGCTCAAAATTTCTAGAGAATATAAGTTACAACAGTTAGAAACAATCTAGAAGTTACATATAATAAAATTAGCTTCATAAATTGAGATGTCACTCACATTATCTTCATCGAGGTGGAAGAGAAAGCAAAAGCCTTACCTGTGATATCTGAGTGATATGTGCTTCTTTAGCATCTAGTATTTTATTCATATTCATATTCCCTTTTTAGAAAAGGGACCATTTACATTTATTGTACAGGTTGACTGATTTGGGTTTATTGTACACATGACTGATACCATTTCCTCCTTCAGCATTCCGGTGACTGCATCCCTCCCTCCACTGGAGTGGCCACTCTCCAATCAGTCAGGCTCCTATGAGCTGCGGATTGAGGTACAGCCCAAGCCACATCACCGGGCTCACTATGAGACAGAAGGCAGCCGAGGGGCTGTGAAAGCTCCAACTGGAGGCCACCCTGTGGTTCAGGTATGAACTTGAATTCTCTTCCTTCTATGCCCCATAGTTGTTAGCAGGTGATTCACTTCAGTTAAACCATTGCTTATTGCTTGTTGGGCTGAGTATGTGTCTCATGCTTTTAGTCCTTTGAAGATGAGAAATTTGAGATTGAAGTAGTATCCAAAGCTAATCCAGCTACTTAGAAGCCAGAGAGGAATGTCTTTTTCAGTTAGATAAGGATAATAACCATACTTATGTGCAAGATAATTCTTCCCTTCTCTTTCTGATTGAGAAACTTCTGAAGTTTTACAAAGGTTTGTGTATTGAGGTTTCTGAAGTCACCATCTTAAGATTCAGGTGAGAGTTCATTGAGGAAAAACAATATATACTCTTGTAAAATACAGAAAAATATGAACAATTAAAACTACATGTAACCTACATAAAGCTTATTGTTATTAGTATTTTGATTTATTTCTGTTGTCTTTTTTCTATTCATAAACATGCCAGTCTCTGTTACTATATGTTTATATACATGATGCTGTAATGAGCATGTAGTTTATACTCTGATTTTATTTTTTTACTTTATCTTATACATGAACATTTCCTCCTGTTTTTTTTTTCTTAATCAATATAGTTTATGTTCATGGTTTTGATATAATCTCATAATTTTTCAAAATAAGTAGAGAAGTGTGCTTCTTTTCCCTCTTTAAAATAGAGTTGAAATATTCTTCATTGTATAGCTTGGCTAACTAGGCACTGCTCACTGGTGCCCACCAACCAGCTTGATTAATTAGAACTTTCAATACTTTTAAATTAATGTAACTTCTTTTATATTAGTTTCAAAGTGGAAGTATTCCATGATAAGAACCTAGTTCATGCAAAGTGAGCATCAGAACCCCCTACAGTGGTTCTTAAACATGTAGATTCTTGAGCTTCTTTCAAAATACTTAAGTAGAAACTTCATAACATGAGGAGAGTCCAGACCAAACAAACAAAAATCCCAGACCGCCAAATCTCCACAGGTGCTTTGGGTATGTACCTCTGGTTATGGACTTCTATAATAATAGAGATGTTCCTCAATTAAAATGGGGTTATGTATGGATAAACCCATTATCAGTTAAAAATACCTTATGTTGAAAATGCATTACTGACTGTGTATTGCTTTTGTACCATTGTAAGCCAAAAATGTGTAAGTTGAAGCTTTTTAAGTCAGAGACTGTTTGTATGAAGAAATGGTTAAGTCCTGGCAGTTGCTTTTTCTAAATCAGACATTGTAGTAATTTTGGAATTTGTTTCTATTCATTGATTTTTTTTTCAACCCTCGGTCACACATTCCTCTTTCTATGCATGCCTAGTAATTGTCGACTGTATTCTGACATTGTGATGACAATACACATTAGATATAGAAGATATATATATATATCTTCTTCTAAAGGCAGTTCAGTTACTGGCAAGTGAACCTAAATTTATGTAGGCTCTATTTTATACTTGTGGAAAGCACAAGGCATTTCTAACTTGATGTGGCTGAGCCTGGAAGCTCTTTTCTTTGTTAATCTAATTGAGGATTGGTTTTAGTCCCTGTTAGACAAGTATGTAGCAGCCTGTACTTTAAGATATGTGCTGAATTCTAAGGCATGGCCTTTCTGAGTGCTTGATTGCAAAAACGCTCTACTCTGGTGGCCTGAAACTCTAGTAGGCCAGCTCTGCTCCACTTCTAATCTCCCTACCCTATAGCAGTTGTTGTCTGGTAAACCTTGCACTGTCTTTTTCTGTACTTCCGTAGCCCGGCCCTTGGCCAAGGACTTGAAGGTTCTCCTAGCAGCTTCTTCTTCTCTGATGCCTTACCCACAGCTTCCAGCTGTGTCTACAGCCTGGATCTCTGAACTCTGTCTCTTTAGTCCAGGTAGATCACCATGCTTTTCATAAAAGATATTGATGACTAGAAACGCCATTCCTAGCATGTGGTAGGAAGCTCTCCCCAAGCAGGGAGCTGGAGTGAATGTGGGTTCGTCTTACTGCCTGCTTCCTCTCAGGGACCCGAGTCGTAGGCTGCATGCTGTCTGACGTGTGAAATCAGTGGCCTTGTATACCTTAGCTCTGTTTTCTATTTTTGGAGGGCTGTCTGTTTCTATTTACTGTGGCTAAACTGCAAATTGGATTTTTTTTTTTTAATTTGTGAAAGAAAGTCTTCATATCATTATTGATCAAGGCTTATCTATTTTAGGATGGGCCTCTCCTGGCTTAGAGATTGCCATGAAATTGTATTTTTCAGTCAACGACTTATAGTAATAGAGAGAGAAACTCATTCAAAACAGATTAGGAAAAAAGAATTGTATGAGGAGGCTGCTGGGATATCGCGTTAAAACTAGGGCAGGAAATTGAACTCAAGAATACTTGGACGTGGGAGTCAGGGTCTAAGAGTTCTTTGTTCAATCAATACATTCAACAAGTGGATTCACGCACAAGTACTTGCTAAGCACCTATGTCTGTGACACGTATTGTGCTCAATGGTGAAATACAAAGGCGAAGAAAAGTTATGCTGTCTTCACCCCAGAGCTCCTGGCTGGGAGGGGAGAGAGACATTGTCTAGTTACACAAATGGTGATCACACAAGCTGTGGCAGGTGGCATGAAGGAAAAGTGTGGAGCTCTGGTTTGTTCTAAAACAGTAAATGCTTTTCAGATCTTGTGACTGATTCATTGGGCGTAAAACAGGGGAGGTCATGTGGGTGGGGAAGAATATCAGCTAAGGTTTCCCCGAGGAAGAGACGGGGCTGAGGATGCACATGCCTGAGGCAGAGGGAAGTAGACCATGTCAGAGGAACTTATAGAGGTTGGCATGATTGAGCACGAAGAGCCAGAAGAAGACAGGTGGGAGGAGGGGGCCAGAGCCTGCAGCACCTGCGCGGCCATGGAAGACAGTGGGACTTATACCCCAAAGATACAAAAAGCAAGAAAGACACATGATCTGGTTTAGGCTTTGACAAGACCCTGCTCTGACTGCTCTGCATGGAGTAAGAACAGAGATAAAGAGATTTAGGAGGCTCTTTCCTTGGTTTCCCCATTTCAGACTGTGAGGTATCTTTATTCACTGGTAATTGGACAGGTGTTTACTGAGCACCTACTTTGTACCAGGCCCAGTGCTCAATTGAGAGAGATGATATGAACAAACCAGCTGGAATTCTCACCCTTGAGAGCTTACGTTTTAGCAAGATGATAGTAGTAATAAACATTTAGCATCTGCTGTGGCTCTATGTGAGACCATCTTTTAAGTGCTGAAATGTGTTAACTGATTTCATCCTCAAGAATCCTATGAAGTAGGTTGCGGTTAGGCCACGGAGGTCAAGGAGTTTGTTCAAGGTCTTAGCTAAGGGGCGGGGCTGGTATTTCCACACTGTAGCTTCTATTACTACAGAGTTTTTCTGATCATCTCTGTCTCTCTGCAGACCAACTTTCCTTGACTCTCACTCATACAGAGAAAGACTGGTGGAAAAAGGCCCACCACCCTTGGCAGCTACTCCTTTCCCCTTCTGACACACGGTACAGTTCGAGGCCCATGCCCAGCTCATCAGAACCCAAATTCAGATTCTCGAGGAGATCCTAATTGGTCCCAGTTGGGAGACTCCAACCACTAGTCCAGTTGGTTGTGGCCAGGAAGGAGCTGGGCTCAGCTCACTCTTCCACTGGGGTGTGGGGCCGTGGGGAGAAAGGAGGAGGCCATGCACGGTTCAAAACACCTGCTGTTCTGTCCCGATGTTTGCACCTCTCCCTCCGACAGCACCCTCTTCCTGCCTTTAACATAGAAAACCCAGCGTGTGATTTAAATGTATGTAGCCACTGCCTCAAAAGGTGCAAAGTGGAATGATTTTAAAAAAACAGTAACTTGACTAGATTTTTCTCGTTTGAAATGAAATGTGTCAATCTCTGTGTTTGTAATAGGGAGTCAGTTATTAAACAAGAAACCTTGGTGTGAAGAAGAGAGGAGACTTTTGGGAGACTGCTGCTCTTAGCCATTTAAGTAGGTGTGAAACCCCCTCGAAACCTGGAGGGCTGCTCTGTCACTCTCGAAGAGCAGTGGAGGCCTGTCTGTAGCTTGCCCACGTGCTCTCTCCTGGGGGGCTTTCTCTTTCTCTCCACGGCTGCTTCTATTTCTGTGCTCTGCTGCAGTTCTCCCTCTCGGTTATTCGTCCCCACCCTTTGTGTTTTTATTTGCCATACTCTAGAACTTCATTTTTTTTTTTTTTTGCATGCCTCATGGTTTTATGCTTCTCTTTATGTAAAAAATAAATTGAGAGCAAGACCACTTCATTCTCTCTCCTTAAATATCAAATTAAGAATCCTAAGCATGCACCACGCATGTTTTTGTTTTTTTGGAATGCCCTTTGGTCTTGGAAGAAAGTTTGTCCCAAACCCTTAAACACATTCCGGATCTCATGCCTCACTCATTCGGCCGCTGTTGTGCTGAGGACCTGCTGCGTGCCGGGCATGACGCTGGGTGCTGGTAACACTGTGCTGCTGGCCAGCACCGCAGGGTTCCTGTCCTGTCGGAGGGCAGGGGCTGCCAGAGGTGCAGAGCTGGCCAGGACAGTTTGGTGTGACTGGTGCTGAGATGTGGGTGGGTCAGGGAGGCCTGGGTCTGTGGGCCGACACCTGGACTCAAGTGGATTACGAGCCTATCCTCTGGATTCAGGACTTGGAGGTAACTGCCCTGCCACAACATTCCAGGCCAAGAGACAGACTTAGGATACCTGCTTTAGAAGGCAGGTCTCTCTGAGGAGGTGACTTATCAGTTGGAACCTGGGACAGCAGGTGACAGAGCCAGCAGAGTTTAAGGATGGCCTCCCTCTGTCTTTCTTAGGGTATGGTGAGAGAGTAAGCACATGCAAAGGGCCTGTGGAAGGGAAGCCCTCAGTGTGTGAGGGTCTGAGGAGGGCTGGCTAGGAGGGCTTGCGGGGTGAGGGTTGGAAGTCCAGGCTGTGCAGGGCTCAAAAGCCAGGAGGAGGACCTAGGACTTTATTCCAGGGCTGGAGA